CCGCCTACAGTGGAGGCCGCGGAGTGGAATCCCCGAGCCACTGATCACATGAACCGAGTGATCAGGATCGATGATTCCATTTTGCTGGATCCTCATGTCGCCAATGCAGTGAGTGAGACACTGCATTTCGAGGCGGACATGGCGGCTCATAGGGGGCGATCAACCAACGTGTTGTTCTGCTCCATCATCCAGAATTCCCTGGTGGTGAGTTCATTTTTGCTTTGGTTCCTTCTTTCTTGCTTTCCATTTTTGTGATTAACACTTTTTTCCCTCCTTTGCAGGCTACTCAGCAGATCTCCATAATCGCTGCTCGGTACCATGGGTCTAGGATGGACCTCCAGCGGGCCCGGGAGCAGAAGGAGGAGGCGGAGGGGGCCCTCGCCCGAGCAATGGAGGATGTAGCTGCCAGGGACTCTACCCTGGCGGGGCAGGCTGCTCAAATCGAGCAACTCCTAAAGGACGCCGAGTCGACTAAGGTTGGCGCTGAAAAGCTAAGTGCTGCCCTTGCCGATGCTGAGGGGAGGATAACCGAGCAGACGCGACGGCTTTCTGCTGCGGAGGAGAGGGCGGTAGGCTCAAAGGAAAGCTGTCTGGCTCTCACCTAGGAGCTGGACAGGATCAGAGCCGAGGCACTAAACAGAAAATCGGAAGAGCANTAGAGGAAAGCTGTCTGGCTCTTCCACAGGAGCTGGACCGGATCAGAGCCGAGGCACTGAACAGAAAATCAGAGGAGCAACTTCATGAAGAGTTTGCCGATGACGTGCTCCCTGCTCTTGAGGAAAACAGCAAGGAGTTCTTCAAGAAAGGGTGGGACGAGGCGCTCCAGTCTGCTGGAATCCCGTCAGACTCCCCGCTCTTCCAAANGAGTTCACCGATGACGTGCTCCCTGCTCTTGAGGAAAACAGCAAGGAGTTCTTCAAGAAAGGGTGGGACGAGGCGCTCCAGTCTGCTGGAATCCCGACAGACTCCTCGCTCTTCCAAATGCACAAGTACGTGCCCTCGGCAGAGATGGCACGGGCCGAGGTAGAGATTGCTGTCGAGGAGGAGGTGCCAACGCCGGTGCAAGTCTCGGCAGATCCCCCCGAGGCAGTGATAGTGGATTTATCCGAGGACGCCCCGTCGGACCATGCTCCTGATCCTCCAGTTGTCCAAGTTCTCCCTGTTGCCGAAATACCTCTCCTGCCTGCCCCAGAAGCTTCTCAACCATTTTTTGCTGACTCGCCCTCGGCTGATGTTCTGGAGATGCCTGGAGCCAGATGATAGCCCCTTTTTGCTTCTTTGATTGTACCCCTTTTATTTTCTTTTGTAGCCTTTGGGGACGCAAAGCCCCTTCTTCTTGAAATGAATGAGTATTTTTTTCCTTTTTTGCGCACAGTAGTGTTTTTTTTTTGAACCGTCTTCGGGGCTGCTTGCCCAATCAAGAGACTTGCTCTTGTGTTTGCTTTGGGGACAGGAGTCCTTGAACTCTGTCCCCAGGGCCTTACCCTTGCAGGAGCCTTGAACTCTGTCCCCAGGGCCTTACCCTTGCAAGAGGCTTGCTCTTGTGATTGCTTCGGGGACAGGAGTCCTTGAACTCTGTCCCCAGGGCCTTACCCTTGCAGGAGGCTTGCTCCTGTGTTTGCTTCGGGGACAGGAGTCCTTGAACTCTGTCCCCAGGGCCTTACCCTTGCAGGAGGCTTGCTCCTGTGATTGCTTCGGGGACAGGAGTCCTTGAACTCTGTCCCCAGGGCCTTACCCTT